CTGCAAAAAGGGTTTTGCGCTACTTGTGCAGTACATCGGGCATGGGGCTCGTGCTTGGAGGAGGGAGCTCAGTTGTTCTCACTAGGTACTCAGATGCTTCTTGGGTTGACGACCAGGCTACTCAGCGGTCGTCACAGGGTTACACCTTTAGCCTTGGCTCTGGTTCAGTTTCGTGGCGTTCTACGCGTTCGTCTTCAGTTCTCAGCTCCAGTTGTGAGGCTGAGATCTACGCCACAGCCATGGTTGCATAGGAATTACGCTGGCTCACCTACCTGCTGACCGACCTGGGAGAGCGGCCTAGTTCTCCTCCAGTGCTGTAGGTTGACAAAAGGCTGCCATTGCCTTGTGTGAGGAGCACAGAACGAAGCACATCGCTCTCTGTTACTTCCTGGCTTGAGAGCTGCAGCCGCGCGGCCAGCTTCATTTGCAGAGCAGCCGAGTGATTTCAAGAAACTGTTGGCAGCAGTACCGCCCGAACTAGAGGAACTGTTGAAATGATACCCCGGGATTTTCTCCGACGACCTACCGGAAGGACTGCCACCTCAGCAAGCACATGACCACCGAATCGAATTAGAACCGGGGGCACAGCCAACCGTACAGCGCCAGTTCAGACTGACACAGCCCGAGCTTGACGAACTAAGGAAGCAGTTAGATTACCTGTTAGAGAAAAAAATCATCCGACCAAGCTCGTCACCGTTCGCCGCACCGATACCGCTCACACCGAAAAAAGACGGGGGGTTTTCGCATGTGTATCGTGTCAGTAGATCTGCACTGTGGATGCCCGATTGATCCTGGAGAGGGTTACAGGCGCGTTCGCCTGGGGGGTTATGGGCGCACTGACCCGCTACTGAAACAAGCCCTTTTATCCCAGTGGTCTAGTGGCTGGGATTCTGACATGGTATCAGAGTGGTCTCGGGTTCGATTCCCGGTGTATGCACATGTAGGCCGTTGCCGCTGTGCTTAGTCCTGGGCCTCCCATTCTGGAGGGGTTTCAGTAGATCTGCACTGTGGATGCCCGATTGATCCTCAAGAGGGTTACATGCGCGTTCGCCTGGGGGGTTATGGGCGCACTGACCCGCTACTGAAACAAGCCCTTTTATCCCAGTGGTCTAGTGGCTGGGATTCTGACATATCGACTACAGAGCACTGAACAGTGTAACAGTCAAGTGTCAGAATGTTATTCTCTAGCCTGTAGTGGGGTGCTCTATAGCATGTACAACCCATTAGGGTTTGCTATATGTATCCTCATTGCTGCTAGTGAACCCCCTCTTTTGCCTAACTCTCTCTTGCCTAGCTAGGTAAACCCTAGATATGGCTCCTTGTTCTAGCTACTATTGTGACATCAAGTCGCGGTACCCCATTCCTCGCGCCGACGAACTGATCGACCAACTGCGAACAGCACGGGTTTTTTCGAAAATAGATTTACGGGGAGGTTACCATCAGATTAGGGTTGAACCATCGGACTGCGCCAAAACAGCTTTCAGGACTAGGTACGGGTCGTTCGAGTACACGGTGATGCCATTCGGGCTGACCAACGCACCGGCGACTTTTCAGATGACCATGAATGAGGCATTTAGGCCGCTCTTAGATAAATGTGGGATCGTGTACCTCGACGACATCCTAGTTTACAGTCGGGATAAGCACCAGCACTTAGCAGATCTGGAAGCAGTATTTAAGGTTTTAGACGAGCACAGATTACTGACCAAGGTTTCCAAGTACGAGTTCTTCCAGGATAGGTTAGAATTTTTGGGGCACGTTATTTCAGAGGCTGGAGTTGAAATCGACCCAAAGAAGCTGGATACGGTAAAAGCGTGGCATCCCCCGACAAACATCACGGAGCTGCAGAGCTCTTTAGGGTTCGTTAATTATGTGCGTCAGTTCGTCCGATATGGCACGTTTAACTGCCCCACTAACGGATTTACTGCGGAAAAGGGTCGCTTTTACGTGGGGGGAGAAAGAGCATGCTGCCTTCTCTGCCCTGAAAAATGTTCTCTGTTCACCGCCCGTCCTGCGCATCGCCGACCCACACCGCCCATTCGAAATAGTTACCGACGCAAGTGACATCGCCATCGGAGGACTTCGGCAACGGCCTAGAGCCCATCGCATACGAGTCACGAAAACTGCATCCGCGCGAGAAAAATTACCCGATACACGACCGCGAAACGCTTGCGATCGTGCACGCGTTCAAAATATGGCGCTGTTACTTGACCGGCGCAGACGTGAAAGTATGGACAGACCATAAGTCACTACAGTACCTTCGCGCACAACCACACCTCAACCCACCACAGATTCGCTGGCTCGATTTCCTCGATTCCAACTTTCACTACACGGTCACTTACAAAAAGGGAGCCTCGAACATCGCCGATGCACTGACCTGCCCCACTGCCCAGATCCACGTTATACTGCTCGTCCAGACAAGCCCACTACTGACAGGCCTATTTACCCACGGGTACCAAACAGATCCATTCTTCACAGGAGAAAATTCGCAACAGTTCACAGCAGCAAGGGGAGTCTATTACGTAAAAGCCGGGACTGACCGCATTTGGGTACCTGGGTATACACTGCTATGGGAATTACTATTACAGGAGGCACACGACGGAGTTACCTCGGGGCATTTCGGAGTAGAAAAAACACGGCAGCAGCTGCAGCGGTATTATTACTGGCTCGAAATGTTGACCAACGTACAGCAACACGTGGCATCATGTCCCACTTGCCAGCTCATGAAATCATCAAGGCAACGGCCGGCAGGACAGTTGCAGCCGATGCCACCCCCAGAGCGTGCTTGGCAGCAGGTGACAATGGACTTCGTCATGGGGTTACCGTCCGGGGCGAGTGGGAAGGACGCGATCCTGGTCGTCGTCGATCGACTAACGAAAATGGCACATTTCGCAGCGTGCAAAAAATCAATCACAGCCGAAGAAACTACACGCCTCTTCATCTCCACTGTCGTTCGATTGCACGGGATACCAGCCGCGATCATCAGCGACCGAGACACGAAATTCACCAGCAACTTCTGGCGGAACCTGTGGCAGCAGTTCGGCACGCGACTGCAGTTCAGTTCATCATACCACCCCGAAACCGACGGACAGACAGAACGGACAAATCAGACCATGGAACAGCTCATCAGGGCCACGTCTGACGACCCGACCACGTGGGAACAGCAACTCGCCATCCGCCACGACCCAACAGTCACCATTTTACCTAAACTACGGACAAGACCCGACAGTACCCATGACCCCGAATCCCGACAACCTAGTACCACGAGCACAACCGTTCGCCGCAATATTACAAGCAGCACGGACCCGGGCAGCAGACGCAATAGAAAAATCAAACATCATTGCTAAACGCAACGCCGACCGCCACCGCAGACCTGTCACTTACCAGCCCGACGACCTAGTTTCACTTGACACTCAGAACCTCCGACTGCCCATCACCCCGAAACTCCGCCCCCGATACTGCGGGCCATTTCGCATAAGCCACATGATTACACCCGTCACCGCCCACCTCCTCCTCCTTGCTGACTGGTACGTCAGCCCCTCATTCCACGTCAGTCTGCTTCGCCCTTACGTCCCGTCCACGAGCTAATTGCCACGCAATCGCCCAGCCAGCATGATAAGACCACCAACTGAACCAATCATCACCCCCGAGAAAATCCTGAGTCACAGAGTTCGCGACCCTCGAGGAGCCCGAAGGATCGAGTTCTTGCTCCGCTGGAAGGACCGTACACCCATCGAAGACAATTGGGTTCCCCTGGACAGAATCGAAAACCACCCCGTCCTCACCTAGTATCTGCGCAGCCGAAATTTCAGGGATGTACACGCACTTTCGTAAGGAGGACCTCCTTAGGGGGGGGGTAGTGTAAGGAAAATTCCTTTTCCTTGCTTCGCGTCCCTGCTCAGCGCGTACACCACTGTAGCACCACAGTCAGCGCCGTTACCACTCGCAACCCTCACATCGACAATCCTCCCACCACCTTCGCACGTCGCACCCCGACCTCACGGCTCGGCGGGTAACCCGCGCTCTGGGCCTCCGCTTCGACACTTTTCCCAACCTCAGTCCCAGGCCCGTCACGCGACAACCACAGTCCATTACCGTTACCACTGTAGTTTCGCTATATATTCTTCGCTCATGCCTTCGATAGTGCAATTCTCGTTCGTTCACTCAATTTCACTCGTAACAATATGACTCTCCACACACAACCTAGACACCCACCACATCCGACCGAGGATCGCCCACCACCACTTCTTGAATCACTTGAAATTCCATTTTCTGGCAATTCTCCACACTTCGCTACGGTTAGATTCGCTTACCCGAACTCAACGCTGCGCCATCTGCCGCCGTCATCTGCGGTCAGCATGGAATCGTTTTCGTGCCCTCGCGTACCGTCCCCTCGCGTACCGTCCCCTCGTCCACTGTTACGCGCCAATGGCTCCGCGCCTTTGGCCGTGCTCGCTAGTAATTCTTCCGCTCCGCTCTCCTGCGGTTTCCGCGCGCAAATACTTCCTACATCCGCGCACCCCCTAAGCCTTCCCCCCTCTCGCGCGCTCGCCCCCCCTTTCGCGGAACCCCCGCTTGGCCCCGCTCTCTCCTCCGCTCGTCCTTCCGCTTCCCCCTGCTCTGTCTCCAACCCGCGCGCTCACCGCTCCGCCGTCCATCGGTTCGCGCACTCCTTCGCGCAGGGCGGCGCGGAATCAGCCGCCTCCGCCGATGCCTGCGCCCGTGCGCCGGCTCCGCGGGCGGGCACGGAAACCTCTGCTGGCGCAAAGTGGGGGAAGCGGCGGGGAGTGACGGCGGGAGCGAGGTCGTCAAGAACGGAGATGTGGCGAGGGGGTGCGGGGGAGGGGAGAGGCCGTGCGGAAGGCGCACGAGAGGAAAGAGTCGGAGAAATAGAGAGAGACGGGAGAGGCGGGAGATGGGAGGGAGGAGAGAAGAGGGAGAGTCGGGAAAGAAAAGAGCAAGGGGTTGCATGGGAAAGGGGTAGGAGTGGGTATGACGGATCGATGAATGGAGAGAGCCGTTGGATCGGATCGGATCGACGGACTGAATCCAGTCGGCCTAGAGATGGCGCTTCGTACGGGAGCTGGTCCGGCGACGACCGTGAGATTTCGCGCCGTCGTTCGTCGCCTGTCGCAGAGTCGCAGCCGCTCCAATCAAAGGCGGCGGTCGTCGCAGAAGCAGTCGCAGAGCCAGTCACGTACGAGCCGCAGCTGGGCGACCGCGTGATCGGCGTCGTAACGGGCGTGGCGGGCGACGGCGGGTTGGACATCGACATCGGCGCGCGGCTGCTGGCGCGCGTGCCTGCGCGCGACGCCGTGGCGCTGTGCGCGCTAACGGCGGCCGGGGGAAGCGGAGGCGGAGGCGGAGGCGGAGGAGGGGGAGGGGGAGGGGAAGGGGGAACGGTTGTGGAGAGAGGCGGTTCAGAGGACTACGATTGGCTGGTGCGTGGAGGGTTAGCAAGAGGATAGGGGAGTGATTGCTACGAGAGCACGGGATGGGGAAAGGCTGACAAGTTGAGACATGGCTGGTTAAAACCCGGCACAAACCCTGAACCCCTGCAATCGCTTTCGCCCATCCTTTAGAGCACGGGAAAGGGAAATGCAGACCCTTTTGAAATGCACGCCTCGGATTGCTTCTGAAGTCGCCTTGGATCGCCAAGATCAAGCCTTCCATTCCCCATTCCGGTTCCCTGCGCTGCGCCCACCCGCCTGTTGCCGTGACCTTGTGAAACCCTCCTCCTTGCCTTCTTGCCTCCCCTCCTGCTTCCGTTCTCCCCATTTCTAATGAATCCCACTGCTTTATCCCCTCCCAACCCGCCCTCTTACCCCCCGCCCCTCCCTTCCCATCCCATGTTTCTCTCAACCCTAAACCCTCAACCCGTTCCTTCTGCGCCCCCCTGTGCCCCCATGCCCGTTCCCTCTCCCCCGCCCTGCACGCACCGTGTCATCTGCAGGTGATTCCCCGGCCACGTCCACACCCCACCGCTGCACCCGCAGGTGCTGCTCACAGCGCTGACGCTGCTGCTGGGGCTGCTGCTGCTGATGCTGCTGCTGATGCTGCTGCTGCTGCTACTGGGACGGACAGCAGCAGTGGCAGCAGCAGCACAGGGGACGCAAATGCTGCTGCAGCAAATGCCACCCATGCTGCTGCTGCTAGTGATACGGATACTGATACTGATGCCGATGCTGAGACGGGTACAGATATGGGTACAGATGATGAAGCTCATATTCATGCTCATGTTACAAGGGAAGCCTGTGAAGCCCCCCCCGCCGCCTCCCCCCTTCCTTTCCGCGCGCCCTTTGGGGAGTTCAGGCTCTTGCGCGGGGCGCTGGGGGAAGCAGGGGGCGCTCTGGAGGGGGATTGGGGGAGGGTTGGCGCAGAAGGGGGAGAGGAAGGCGGGTGGGAGGAGGGAGCGGTGGTGGAGGGGGTGGTGGTGGGGGAGACGGTGACGGGGCGGCCATTGGTGTCAGTGCGCGTGCGAGCCATGGACATTGCTTGGGAGCGATGCCGCCAGGTGGGAGAGATGATACCAGGTGGGGGGTGCGAGGTAGGGGGTGCGAGCTACACGGGGCGGCCGTTGGTGTCGGTGCGCGTGCGAGCCATGGACGTAGCATGGGAGCGATGCCGCCAGGTGGGGGGTGCGAGGTGGGAGGGCGCTAGGTGGGGGATGTGAGGTAGGGGGTGGGGAAGGCAGGCAAGCAAAGGAAAGAGGAGGCGCGGGTGTGCATGTATTTTTGCGCATTTCTCCTCTCTGCTGCAGCTCTCCCACTCCACTTCCTCTGCACTCCTGCAACAATATTTCGTTTCCAGCAAACTCCATTCTCTCCCCTCCTCAGCTTCTCCCTCCCACCCCATTGCCCTCCTCCCATTTCTCCCACCTCCCACCCCGTCCCACCCCACCCCAACCCATCCCATCCCATCCCGTCCCATCCCATCCCGTCCCATCCCATCCCATCCCATCCCATCCCATCCCATCCCATCCCATCCCGTACCATACCATCCATCCTGTACCGCCACACGTGCTCATCTCGGCCATCTCGGTCCCTCCTTCCTGCTCCTATGAACTGCCGTGGGCCCAGCGTCATTTGTGCTGCTGTTCAAACCAACCAACTTCTGTGGAAAAGACGCCTGCTCCTCCGGTGCTCCCCTCGCCCCTGTGACTGTATCCCGTAACCCACGAGGAGCCCTGCAGATGAGGCGAGAGGGCGAGCCCATCCGCGTCACCATCGCCGCCTGCAACGCCGGCGGCCTTGAGGCGCGCCTTGAGGTGCGGGGGGTGGGGCGGTGGGGGAGAGGGGGGCAGGAGAGGGGGAGAGGAGTGGTGGGAGGGTGGATGGCGTGGCGAGCGTGAGAGGAGAGGAGCGATGAGGATGTTGTGGGTAACGGGCATGATGTCATGCTGGCATGATGTCATGATGTCATGATGGCATGATGGCATGATGGCATGATGGCATGATGTCATGATGGCATGATGGCATGATGTCATGATGGCATGATGGCATGATGTCATGATGGCATGATGGCATGATGTCATGATGGCATGATGGCATGATGTCATGATGGCATGATGGCATGATGTCATGATGGCATGATGTCATGAGGGCATGATGGCATGATGGCATGATGGCATGATGTCATGATGGCATGATGGCATGATGTCATGATGGCATGATGTCATGATGGCATGATTCCATGATGTCATGATGGCATGATGTCATGATGGCATGATGGCATGATGTCATGAGGGCATGATTGCATGATGCCATGATGGCATGATGTCATGATGGCATGATGGCATGATGTCATGATGGCATGATGGCATGATGGCATGATGGCATGATGGCATGATGGCTTGATGTCATGAGGGCATGATGTCATGATGGCATGATGGCATGATGGCATGATGCCATGATGGCATGATGTCATGATGGCATGATGGCATGATGTCATGATGGCATGATGGCATGATGGCATGATGGCTTGATGTCATGAGGGCATGATGGCATGATGGCATGATGTCATGATGCATGATGGCATGATGTCATGATGGCATGATGGCATGATGTCATGATGGCATGATGTCATGAGGGCATGATGGCATGATGGCATGATGGCATGATGTCATGATGGCATGATGGCATGATGTCATGATGGCATGATGTCATGATGGCATGATTCCATGATGGCATGATGGCATGATGTCATGATGGCATGATGGCATGATGTCATGATGGCATGATGTCATGAGGGCATGATGGCATGATGCCATGATGGCATGATGTCATGATGGCATGATGGCATGATCTCATGATGGCATGATGGCATGATGGCATTATGGCATGATGGCATGATGGCTTGATGTCATGAGGGCATGATGTCATGATGGCATGATGGCATGATGGCATGATGGCATGATGGCATGATGTCATGATGGCATGATGGCATGATGTCATGATGGCATGATGGCATGATGCCATGAGGGCATGATGGCATGATGGCATGATGGCATGATGGCATGATGTCACGAGGGCATGATGGCATGATGGCATGGTGTCAATGAAACTGAGACAATATTCCCGCTATCCCTACCCTGTCCACATTCGATTTTTGCTGTTCATTGTCCAACCTAAGACCAACCCGCGCCCACCTTCCTTTCTCCTCGTTTCCTCCCCCTCCATTCCGTCTCCCCCCTCCTCCCCTCTTTGTTCCTTCCTCCTCCCATTATCCTCCCCTGTGTGTCCCCTCCCCTGTCCTGTGTGTCACAGGGTCTGAGGGCGTTCTTACCGCTGCCCTATCTGCTCAACAACCCAGACGGCACCCGCCCTGACCTGCACTACCTCGTATGTCCTCTCTGCCATTCTGCCCGACTGTCTGCCTGCCTGCCTGCCTGCCTGCCTGCCCGCCCGCCCGCCCGCCCGCCCGCCTGCCCGCCTGCCTGCCTGCCTGCCTGCCCGCCTTCCTGCCTGCCTGCAACCCTGCCCGTGCGCCCGCCTGCCTGCCTGTCCGCACCGTGCCCTTTCGTATTGTGCGCCCTGGGATGCAGAGGTCAACGTGCTGGGCTGTGCTGTGCTGTGCTGTGCTGTGCTGTGCTGTGCTGTGCTGTGCTGTGCTGTGCTGTGCTGTGCACTGTGCCACGCCATGCATGCTTGCTGCTCTACCACTCCCTTCCCCCCATTCCCTTTCTACCTTTACGCTCGTTTCTTCCTCTCTTCCTTTCATTCCCATAACCCATCGCTCTGGTTGATGTAATGGAGCTGCCTATCCCCTCCCTTTCCCTTCCCCATCCTCCACTCCACTCTCGCATTCACCATGCCCCTCTTCCCCTTCCCCTCGCCCTCCCTCCCTCCCCCCCGCCCTCCCACCCTCCCCCCTTCCTCTCCGCCTCCCGCTCTCCCCCTGGCCACCAGGTGGGGCGGCGCCTGTGGGTGATGCTGGAGGAGGTGGAGCAACGGGCAAGCCGCCTCATTCTCAGTGAAGTGGCCGCCATGGAGTACGAGGTGAGGGGTGGGGAACGGGATGGACGAGCCATGCAGTATGGAAGTGAGAGAGAACAACGTGGGGTAGATATATGACGTCGGTATCGCCTTATTTGCAGTGAAGTGGCACCCATGGAGTACGAGGTGAGGGCTTTGAGGCGACTCAAAACAAAGAAAACCCGTAGAGAGACAACTCTTGAAGTGTGCCCGTGAGCCGCTTGAGTTGAGTCGCATTCCCAAAAGGATGGCTCAAAGGAGAAACTTGAGTCGCTTTCCCATCCTCTTCTCACCATGCACCACCGCTTCCCTCATGCTCCATTCACCCCCCCACATGCCTCCCCCTCCCACTCCCTCTCCCACTCCCTCGCCTCGCCTCGCCTCGCCTGCCCCCCTGTCTGGCAGGTGGCGCGCTCACTGCAGCGGGGGCGGGTGGTGCAGGGCAAGGTGTGTCGCATCACCCCACACGGCGTCATGGTGCTCATCGACCACATTGCCAAGCGGTGCGTGCTGCTGCGAGTGGTGGGTACTGCTGCGAGCAGTGGGTACTGGGAACATGAATGGTGGTGGGGTTATTAAGGGATGGCCCGGTGTGTCGCATCACTCCACACGGCGTCGTGGTCCTCATAGACCACATAGCCGAGTGGTGCATGCTCTGTTGCAAGCGGTGGGTACTGTGAACATGCATGCAGGGGTGTGGGGGTATGCAGGGCGGGGCACGTCCACTCACCCCACACGGTGTCGTGGTCCTCATCGACCACATAGCCAAGCGGTGCGTGCTGCTCACTGCACTCTCACCATGCCTGCACGGCGGTGGGGAATGAAGGGCGGGGGGGGGGTGTGTGTGAGGAGTGGTGGGGGGTTGAAGGGTGGGTGGGAGGATGAGCGTTGCTGCCGTGCTGACTCAAGCACTCTCACTCTGCCACCCGATGTTCTCACTACAGCTTACGCCACCCGATGTTCTCACTACAGCTTATGCCACCCCCACCATCCTGTCATTTCTGTTTCTGCCCTTGCCTCTGCCTTACACTGTCTCCCTTTCCCCCTGTGCGCACGCCCAACGCACATTCCACCCACAAACCACCCCACCCACACCCCATCCCATCCTATGCCATGGCAGTGCACTACTGCACGTGTCCAACATCTCGCGCGTGCGGGTGCCGGCAGCAGAAGACGTGTTCAGCCTGGGCGAGCCCCTCACGGCCCTCGTCATTCGCAATGACACCAGAGGTGTCGCCCTCAGGTCCGCTCTGCTCTTTGCTGCTCTGCTGCCCTGTAGCGCGTGCTGTGTGGTTGTGGGGTGTGCAGTGTGTGGTGTGCAGTGTGTGTGTGTGTGCAGTGTTTGTGTGTGTGCAGTGTTTGTGTGTGTGTGTGTGTGTGTGTGTGTGTGTGTGTGTGTGTGTGTGTGTGTGTGTGTGTGTGTGTGTGTCTTACATATACCACTCTTCTCCTCATTCCCCGTTCCCCATTTTCCCATCCTCACCTCTCACGTCCCATCGCGTTGTCAACTAGACTAAACCCGCTTTTCCAACCACCAACTCTATCCATCCCACTCTCCACCTTCCCAGGCATTCCACTCTCTCGCTCGCTCATATCTCGGCCCTCTTTGCTGCTCCCCTGTGCTCCCCTCTCTCCTCTCTCCCCCCTTTCTCCTCTCTCCTCCACTCACCTCCCCTCTCCTCCCCTCTCCTCCCCTCTCCTCCCCTCTCCTCCCCTCTCCTCCCCTCTCCTCCCCCTCCTCCTCCATTCTCCTCCACTCTCTCCTCCCTCCCCATGCCTCATCTCTCTCCCATCCCTCCCCTACCTCCCATCTCCCTTCTCTCCCCTCCCTCCCATCTCCCGCCTCGCTCCCCTCTCTCCCACTGATCCCTCCGTCCCGCGGCACCACGGCAGCACGAGGGAGTTAGAGCCAGTGGATGGGCTCATGCTCACACACAAGCAGGTGCGGGGGTGCTTGCATGGGGGCTTCGTACAGGGTGGCAGTGGGGGCTTCGTACAGGGTGGGAGTGGGGGCTTCGTACAGGGTGGGAGTTGGGGCTTCGTACAGGGTGGGAGGTGGGGCTTTGTACAGGGTGGGAGTTGGGGCTTCGTACAGGGTGGGAGTTGGGGCTTCGTACAGGGTGGGAGTTGGGGCTTCGTACAGGGTGGAAGTTGGGGCTTCGTACAGGGTGGGAGTTGGGGCTTCGTACAGGGTGGGAGTTGGGGCTTCGTACAGGGTGGAAGTTGGGGCTTCATACAGGGTGGGAGTTGGGGCTTCGTACAGGGTGGGAGTTTGGGCTTCGTACAGGGTGGGAGTTGGGGCTTCGTACAGGGTGGGAGTTGGGGCTTCGTACAGGGTGGGAGTTGGGGCTTCGTACAGGGTGGAAGTTGGGGCTTCGTACAGGGTGGGAGTTGGGGCTTCGTACAGGGTGGAAGTTGGGGCTTCGTACAGGGTGGGAGTTGGGCCTTCATACAGGGTGGAAGTTGGGGCTTCGTACAGGGTGGGAGTTGGGGCTTCGTACAGGGTGGGAGTTGGGGCTTCGTACAGGGTGGAAGTTGGGGCTTCGTACAGGGTGGGAGTTGGGGCTTCGTACAGGGTGGGAGTTGGGGCTTCGTACAGGGTGGAAGTTGGGGCTTCATACAGGGTGGGAGTTGGGGCTTCGTACAGGGTGGGAGTTTGGGCTTCGTACAGGGTGGGAGTTGGGGCTTCGTACAGGGTGGGAGTTGGGGCTTCGTACAGGGTGGGAGTTGGGGCTTCGTACAGGGTGGCAGTGGGGGCTTCGTACAGGGTGGGAGTTGGGGCTTCGTACAGGGTGGGAGTTGGGGCTTCGTACAGGGTGGGAGGTGGGGCTTTGTACAGGGTGGGAGTTGGGGCTTCGTACAGGGTGGGAGTTGGGGCTTCGTACAGGGTGGAAGTTGGGGCTTCGTACAGGGTGGGAGTTGGGGCTTCGTACAGGGTGGAAGTTGGGGCTTCGTACAGGGTGGGAGTTGGGGCTTCATACAGGGTGGAAGTTGGGGCTTCGTACAGGGTGGGAGTTGGGGCTTCGTACAGGGTGGGAGTTGGGGCTTCGTACAGGGTGGAAGTTGGGGCTTCGTACAGGGTGGGAGTTGGGGCTTCGTACAGGGTGGGAGTTGGGGCTTCGTACAGGGTGGAAGTTGGGGCTTCATACAGGGTGGGAGTTGGGGCTTCGTACAGGGTGGGAGTTTGGGCTTCGTACAGGGTGGGAGTTGGGGCTTCGTACAGGGTGGGAGTTGGGGCTTCGTACAGGGTGGAAGTTGGGGCTTCGTACAGGGTGGGAGTTGGGGCTTCGTACAGGGTGGGAGTTGGGGCTTCGTACAGGGTGGAAGTTGGGGCTTCGTACAGGGTGGAAGTTGGGGCTTCGTACAGGGTGGAAGTTGGGGCTTCGTACAGGGTGGGAGTTGGGGCTTCGTACAGGGTGGGAGTTGGGGCTTCGTACAGGGTGGAAGTTGGGGCTTCGTACAGGGTGGAAGTTGGGGCTTCATACAGGGTGGGAGTTGGGGCTTCGTACAGGGTGGAAGTTGGGGCTTCGTACAGGGTGGGAGTTGGGGCTTCGTACAGGGTGGGAGTTGGGGCTTCGTACAGGGTGGGAGTTGGGGCTTCGCACAGGGTGGAAGTTGGGGCTTCGTACAGGGTGGGAGTTGGGGCTTCGTACAGGGTGGAAGTTGGGGCTTCGTACAGGGTGGGAGTTGGGGCTTCGTACAGGGTGGAAGTTGGGGCTTCGTACAGGGTGGGAGTTGGGGCTTCGTACAGGGTGGGAGTTGGGGCTTCGTACAGGGTGGAAGTTGGGGCTTCGTACAGGGTGGAAGTTGGGGCTTCGTACAGGGTGGAAGTTGGGGCTTCGTACAGGGTGGGAGTTGGGGCTTCGTACAGGGTGGGAGTTGGGGCTTCGTACAGGGTGGGAGTTGGGGCTTCGTACAGGGTGGAAGTTGGGGCTTCGTACAGGGTGGAAGTTGGGGCTTCGTACAGGGTGGGAGTTGGGGCTTCGTACAGGGTGGGAGTTGGGGCTTCGTACAGGGTGGCAGTGGGGGCTTCGTACAGGGTGGCAGTGGGGGCTTCGTACAGGGTGGGAGTTGGGGCTTCGTACAGGGTGGGAGTTGGGGCTTCGTACAGGGTGGGAGGTGGGACTTTGTACAGGGTGGGAGTTGGGGCTTCGTACAGGGTGGGAGTTGGGGCTTCGCACAGGGTGGAAGTTGGGGCTTCGTACAGGGTGGGAGTTGGGGCTTCGTACAGGGTGGAAGTTGGGGCTTCGTACAGGGTGGGAGTTGGGGCTTCATACAGGGTGGAAGTTGGGGCTTCGTACAGGGTGGGAGTTGGGGCTTCGTACAGGGTGGGAGTTGGGGCTTCGTACAGGGTGGAAGTTGGGGCTTCGTACAGGGTGGGAGTTGGGGCTTCGTACAGGGTGGGAGTTGGGGCTTCGTACAGGGTGGAAGTTGGGGCTTCATACAGGGTGGGAGTTGGGGCTTCGTACAGGGTGGGAGTTTGGGCTTCGTACAGGGTGGGAGTTGGGGCTTCGTACAGGGTGGGAGTTGGGGCTTCGTACAGGGTGGGAGTTGGGGCTTCGTACAGGGTGGAAGTTGGGGCTTCGTACAGGGTGGGAGTTGGGGCTTCGTACAGGGTGGGAGTTGGGGCTTCGTACAGGGTGGAAGTTGGGGCTTCGTACAGGGTGGGAGTTGGGGCTTCGTACAGGGTGGAAGTTGGGGCTTCGTACAGGGTGGGAGTTGGGGCTTCGTACAGGGTGGGAGTTGGGGCTTCGTACAGGGTGGGAGTTGGGGCTTCGTACAGGGTGGGAGTTGGGGCTTCGTACAGGGTGGGAGTTGGGGCTTCGTACAGGGTGGGAGTTGGGGCTTCGTACAGGGTGGCAGTGGGGGCTTCGTCGGGGTGGGAGTTGGGGCTTCGTACAGGGTGGGAGTTGGGGCTTCGTACAGGGTGGGAGTTGGGGCTTCGTACAGGGTGGGAGTTGGGGCTTCGTACAGGGTGGGAGTTGGGGCTTCGTACAGGGTGGGAGTTGGGGCTTCATACAGGGTAGGAGTTGGGGCTTCGTACAGGGTGGGAGTTGGGGCTTCGTACAGGGTGGGAGTTGGGGCTTCGTACAGGGTGGGAGTTGGGGCTTCGTACAGGGTGGGAGTTGGGGCTTCGTACAGGGTGGGAGTTGGGGCTTCGTACAGGGTGGGAGTTGGGGCTTCGTACAGGGTGGCAGTGGGGGCTTCGTACAGGGTGGCAGTGGGGGCTTCGTACAGGGTGGGAGTTGGGGCTTCGTACAGGGTGGGAGTTGGGGCTTCGTACAGGGTGGGAGTTGGGGCTTCGTACAGGGTGGGAGTTGGGGCTTCGTACAGGGTGGGAATTGGGGCTTCGTACAGGGTGGGAGTTGGGGCTTCGTACAGGGTGGGAGTTGGGGCTTCGTACAGGGTGGGAGTTGGGGCTTCGTACAGGGTGGGAGTTGGGCCTTCGTACAGGGTGGGAGTTGGGGCTTCGTACAGGGTGGAAGTTGGGGCTTCGTACAGGGTGGGAGTTGGGGCTTCGTACAGGGTGGAAGTTGGGGCTTCGTACAGGGTGGGAGTTGGGGCTTCGTACAGGGTGGGAGTTGGGGCTTCGTACAGGGTGGGAATTGGGGCTTCGTACAGGGTGGGAGTTGGGGCTTCGTACAGGGTGGGAGTTGGGGCTTCGTACAGGGTGGGAGTTGGGGCTTCGTACAGGGTGGGAGTTGGGCCTTCGTACAGGGTGGGAGTTGGGGCTTCGTACAGGATGTGAGTTGGGGCTTCGTACAGGGTGGAAGTTGGGGCTTCGTACAGGGTGGGAGTTGGGCCTTCGTACAGGGTGGGAGTTGGGGCTTCGTACAGGGTGGGAGTTGGGGCTTCGTACAGGGTGGGAGGTGGGGCTTTGTACAGGGTGGGAGTTGGGGCTTCGTACAGGGTGGGAGTTGGGGCTTCGTACAGGGTGGGAGTTGGGGCTTCGTACAGGGTGGGAGTTGGGGCTTCGTACAGGGTGGGAGTTGGGGCTTCGTACAGGGTGGCAGTGGGGGCTTCGTACAGGGTGGGAGTTGGGGCTTCGTACAGGGTGGGAGTTGGGGCTTCGTACAGGGTGGGAGTTGGGGCTTCGTACAGGGTGGCAGTTGGGGCTTCGTAGAGGGTGGGAGTTGGGGCTTCGTAGAGGGTGGGAGTTGGGGCTTCGTACAGGGTGGGAGTTGGGGCTTCGTACAGGGTGGCAGTGGGGGCTTCGTACAGGGTGGGAGTTGGGGCTTTGTACAGGGTGGGAGTTGGGGCTTCGTACAGGGTGGGAGTTGGGGCTTCGTACAGGGTGGGAGTTGGGGCTTCGTCCAAGTTGGGAGTTGGGGCTTCGTACAGGGTGGGAGTTGGGGCTTCGTACAGGGTGGGAGTTGGGGCTTTGTACAGGGTGGGAGTTGGGGCTTCGTACAGGGTGGGAGTTGGGGCTTCGTACAGGGTGGGAGTTGGGGCTTCGTACAGGGTGGGAGTTGGGGCTTCGTACAGGGTGGCAGTGGGGGCTTCGTACAGGGTGGGAGTTGGGGCTTCGTACAGGGTGGGAGTTGGGGCTTCGTACAGGGTGGGAGTTGGGGCTTCGTACAGGGTGGGAGTTGGGGCTTCGTACAGGGTGGGAGTTGGGGCTTCGTACAGGGTGGGAGTTGGGGCTTCGTACAGGGTGGGAGTTGGGGCTTTGTACAGGGTGGCAGTGGGGGCTTCGTACAGGGTGGCAGTGGGGGCTTCGTACAGGGTGGGAGTTGGGGCTTCGTACAGGGTGGGAGTTGGGGCTTCGTACAGGGTGGGAGTTGGGGCTTCGTACAGGGTGGGAGTTGGGGCTTCGTACAGGGTGGGAATTGGGGCTTCGTACAGGGTGGGAGTTGGGGCTTCGT